TAATCAAAATTAAATATTCTCATAAAATGTTACATTCATGACCAAGGCATGTTATTACAACATATGAAATTAAAAAATTTATTCAAGATAATCTTAATTGTCCTGTTTCAGATATTTAATGCCAAATTCGAGAAAATCTAATTATTGGGTATGAAAATATAACAGTTCAACAAACTAAACTTATTATTGGTGGTCTATTCAATCTCATAAAGCATACTGCTATGATACCAATCCTTTATTATCAACAAAATGTTTGTTAAAAGAGTTTAACCAAGAATTTATAGTAAATAATCTTGATACTTCTACACCTACTCTTGGATTTTAACAGATTGTTTTACAAATTGCTTTACCATAATTTTGAAGCAATTGAAATTGATGCAACTTATAGTACTAATAATTTGACATAGGAATTGTATGCAATTATGGGCGTAATAGATGGTACTGGATTTCTTCTTAGCTATCTTATAATTTCAGTTAGAAAAAATCGAAATATAACAGGGATTCTTATTCAGTAGATGCAAGCTTTAAAAGAACAAAATCTGAGAAACTTTTCTTTTATTTTAACTGATAAAGATTTTGCAGAAATTAATGTAACACAAACAGTATAACCTGAAGCACGTTTACAATTATGTATCTGGCATTTAATATGGGCTATTAAGCAATGTTTATCATCTAATAAAATTGGTACATACTATTCTTATAATCCAAAAGCTGCACATGAAAAATGTTCAATAATAGATCCTAGTTGAGAAATTGTAAATAATTCAAATTCAGTATTTGCCCTTTAAATTTACGAGAAACTGTAATTAAACTTGTTGAAAATCATTCAAATTGTCATATTTTATTGCCAAAATATGATGGCACCTTTATTATAAATGCAGATGAAATTTGGAAAGAGTGTGTTAAAGAAATTATAGAATTTTGCAAAGATAATGAATTACTCTGATTATGGATTTACCTATGGAAAGAATGGTATTTAAAAGAACAGTGGAATTTATGGGCAAGAGTGGTTAATAAAATATTAGCAATATTAAAACTATAATGATCGTTGAATCACATTGGCAACATATTAAACATGACCATTTATATAAGTTTCACAAGCCCTGAGTTGATCATTTATGTTTTATTCTTGTTAAAAAAGTGATCAGCTAGCAATTATATCGAATTCAATTACTTCAGCAAGGTTGTTATTCAGTATCATAGTGGAAGGAGTTTAAAAAAGAATGGAAGCAATATGAAAAAAAAACTACAGAAATAAATGGCAAATATTTTACAGATCCAACAAAGTGGATATGTGCATGTCCTGCATATATTCAAAGCCGTTTCTTTTTGTGTAAACATCTAGTTAATTCTGTTGAAAAAGTTGATGCAATATTCTTTAAGTAAGTAAGTGACAAGTTGTTTTGATTTTGATATTTGTATTCATTATTTAATTAATAATGTTTCTAATTAAAGGTGCAAAGAAATGTAAATTATCCATTAATTTCATCTTATGAAGGTGAACTGGTTAATGTATTTGGTTTGGAAGCTCCTCAAAATCATAAAATTTCAAATATTTTATTGATCCAAAATTCAATTACCGAGAATGAAGATGATTATATTATTGAAAGTGATGATGAAGAACAACAAATATATAAAACTGATTTTGCTTATTTATGCGAAGTATTAGATAAGGTAATTAAATTTTATATACAGATGCATTTTTAGTCTTTATTAATGTCAAAACGAATTTTTTAGGCCAAAGAATTGTTAAAAGAATCATATAACAAACCAAAACGACATCTATGGTTAAAAAATATTCGCAAAAATTTCAGATTGTTGGAAAAGATGAATAATGATATTATAGCACTAGAAAATCGTTGAACAATGCCAAAAACATGGAAAAACTTTAACAAAAATACAATGTATTGGTAAATAAAATAAATAATGACAATAAATAAAATTTGCGATTTTCTTAAAAACTTAATATTTTTATTTATTTATTCGAAGTATTTTACTAGTAATAAAAATCGTGATAAATTAACCGGAAATCAGTTTCCTAAATCACGTGTTACCCAGTAAAACATCCGGCAACCATTTTTTCTAGGCGACGCTAGGGTGGTTTGTGGTGATCATCACCTACAGTGATAATTAGCAATTTTCTTATTTTAAATATAATTTAGTTATAATAAAAGTATAATTAATTAATTATTAGCTTACTTTTTGTAATATTATAAAAATATTAATATTAAATTATAATAAAAATTATAATTAATTAAATTAATAAAAATAATTTATCATCTAAAATATTAACATTTTATTTTTATCAAAAAGTTTATTTAAGTTTAAATTATAATAAATAATATAAATAAATATAGATTATTAATAAAAATAAAATAACTTACCAATAATTATTAAAAATTTTATAAAATAAATTAAGTTTATATAATGAAAATTAAATGGCTTACAATCTAAGTATCACCATCCATTAAATTTTTTTTTTTTATTTAATTAAAGAATTATAATTTAATTTGTAAATAAATATTAAATAAATAAAGTTTATTACTAATTAATTCTTTTAATGTTGAAGAATCAGAAACATTTGAAACTGATTCATTATAATATTGGGAATAAAATTGAGAAAATCATTTGTATTCAGAATTAATGCTACATCAATATTACCTCTTAGCATAAAAATTTTATAATGTATCGCAAAATTTATGAATTTATAGTAAAAAAAAAAAAAATTAAGAATAGGTTTATAATTAATATATACCTTCAAACATGAAAATCGTTATTGCCAATTGAATCTGGTTTTGCTGTTATAAAAATTAAAGAATCGTTTAATGAATTATATTATTATCATCATTGGAAACTGTGTTCTAAATGTGTTACCTTTGAAAGTTGCTCTAAATAAAACGTTTAGAAAACCAACTTTCAAATAACCTAATATAATATTTCTTATTCAAAATAAATTGACAGCTTTATCTACATTTGGCAAATTGTTTATACTGATGAACAACTAGAGCGAAAAGAGAAATCTAAACTTCGGTTAAAATTTTTTTTTACTGGACTTATTACATTCATGTGCACAAAATTAGTTTAACAGATTTTCCCACCTTTTTTTAATCAACTTATAACTCCAGAGGCGGTTGAAGTTTTAGATGACGAAACCGTTACTAATAACGATGGATGTGAAAATAAATAAGCAGACGAAGATTGATAATTATACACGCATCTTCAAAGACATTTGCATTAATTTTTCATATATAGCGATAGACGCATTTAGTCAGCAGCAGGAGATAAATTTCATAAAAAAAAAAGATCTTTGGTTAAAATAAAAAAATTATTTTAAGATTCGCAAACTTTTTTATCGCACAAATCAATTTCACAGAAACTTTATTATAGGAAATAAATTGAGCAGAGTTTCATTTAAAGCGAGAAATTAAATCATTTTGGTGTGAACTAATATTATTGCCATGCTATAAATAATAAAATGGTTTACATGTGTAAAAAAATTTAGATAAATGGGATTGTTTAAAATTAACAATTTTTTAATAAACTTAACTGCGGCTGAGGCTAAAACTTATTTATTTATTTACTTTTTTTTTAAAAAAAAAAAAAATTTTTAAAGATATAGTGGCGAAGGCGATTTATTTTAATAATTTAAAGATACAATGTAGACGGATTTTTTAAAGAGGTGCATACTATAAAACAGTTTTTATGTATTTTTATTTGAGACACGTAGGCGTCGATTTGAAGAGTTTTTTTTTTAAAAAAAAAAATATTATTAAATGAAGTTTCGGTGGGACGAATTTTTTTAATTTTGTCCGCATCGCATAATATCACTGTAAAAAATTGCAAAATTAGAATAGTCACTCCCCGTAATAACCCTCTATAGTCACATATATAAAAAAATCTTCGGTATCACTCATTATTAAAACATAGAAAGAAAAATTGATTTTAAGAAATTCAAAAAAAAAAAATATAAAATAAAAGTTATATTAACTACAATAACAAAGAAAAATTATAAATCCTTTATGTTTCGTAGGTAAAAATTTGCCGTACTGATCGGACAATAATTTTTATTTATTTATTTATTTAAGTTTCACTTATCTATGTAATATAATACATACATTCTTGGTTGGCTTCTAACCCAATTTATGTAAAATCAAAAAAATTCAACTATTTAAGCGGTCATTCGTACTTCGAAAGTTTCGTACCAAGACCATCCATTATCTGGCATTGATAAAATTTTCTAATTTAAAGCTAAGCTTACGGGTCGTAATCTTTAAACGATACCTCACTGCAAATTTATTATTCGTATATTCGCTGACTAGTTCACAATCCGTTACTTACTGAAGTTCCTTTCGGAATGCTCGGTTCCTTTTTCTCAAAGTATTGTACAGTCGCGTCCGAAAGTGATACCCGATTTAAAATTAATGTCAAAAATGGCAAAACTTTATTGACTTTCATTAAAATTCACATAAAAAATAATTATAAAAATGGTTAATAATGTGTAGGCTTCTAGTACTGCATTTATTCTTTGTGGCATTGAAGCAACAACCTCTTCAAAATGGAGCAATCCAAATTTTCCCATTCTTCGCTTAATGCAACTTTAAGTTCACCCACAGTTCTTGGAAAGACCTTACAACTCTGGATATTGTCTTTTTAACTGCTTCCAGATGTTTTCTATTGGATTTAGGTCGGGAGAATTTGCCGGCCAATCAATAACCACAATTTTATTCTTCTTCAACAAATCCTTGGTTATTTTCGCGGTATGAATAGGTGCATTATCCTGTTGAAAAATTGCAGCCCTCACTGTTAACTAATGAACTGTATGTTGAAATGGATATAGATATGAATTTAGGATTCTAATGTAAGTATTTGAATTGATTTTTTCAATTCCTTCTTTATTTTCATCACAAAAAATTAATGGCCCTTTTATCCCTCCTGCAAAACATCCCCAAACCATGACCGATTTTCGACCACTTTTAAAGGTAGGTATCAAGCATTCAGCGTTAAACCTTTCCCTTGTGTCTCCAAACTCTTATTTGTCGTGACTGCTTGCCAATCTCAACACTTGATTCATCTGAGAAAATAACTTGTGCCCAATCATAAGCTGTTCTTTCTTTATATTTCTCACACCAACTAATACGAGCTAATGCATGCTTTTCTGATATAAAAGGTTTTTTTTGCAGCAACATGAGAATAAATTCCAACATCATGTAATGCTCTTTTAGCAGTTGTAAGGCTGCAATTTAAACCTGTGTATTAATAACTTCATATAAAGGTTCGCATTGATCTTGTGTAACTTCGTTTATGAGTGCATTGTCTCATTATCATCGAGAGCAGGTGGACGCCCTGATCTAGGTAAATTTTCAGTTTTTCCTGTCTTCTTGTATCTGTCAATGATTCTTCTTATTGTGGTGGGATCACGACCCATTTTTCTTGCTATTTGTGCAGGGTTAAAATTCTCCATATATACAAGTATTTTTCCCTTATCTTGAGAAGTTAACTCAGTTCTATGTGACATTATTTGTTTAACTTTATAATGCGTTTATTAGTTTATGAAATTATGAGAAAAACATTTAAAAATAAAAAAAGGAGGTATAAATAATGTAAATTTGGTGCATCATAACACCGTACAAAATCGGATGTCACTTTCGGACATGACTGTACAATAAAATAAATGATGGTTTAGAAATGTTTGTATATCAAAATCATTCCGTTGTTTAGGATTATTTCTTTTAGTATTAAGGAAATGCTTCATTAGTTCATATTCACGTTGAATGTAAAAATATATATATATATATATATATATATATTGGAACCATATGATAAACAAATAAAATGTATAAAATTAATTCGGAAATGATTCGATCATTCTTACTTTTTTCCTGCAAGTCGGAATTTCCAATCATAAAAAAATAGTTTAATTGTTGAATTCAAATTTAGATTAATTGATGATTATTCAATATACCCCCTAAATGAAGCTACGCGATGTCCTATTATATTATATCTGGCCAAGTTTCAAGCATTTTCCAATTCAGTATGTTACAAACAAATACTACATAAAATATTTAAATGAATTATTAAGGAATGTATTGAAAAAATGAGGGGCTGAAAAAAAAAAATAAAAACCTCTAATATCAACAATGGCGCTCAAAGGTTATGTTAGCTTCCTCAAAGGAGTGTGAAAAGAGACCAGCTACTTGAAGGATATTTTCAAGTGTAAGGCAAACACCTCTAAGGGCAAATCCTAGGGAGCGTCGCTCATAGCTTAATACAAAGGATAACACCAGAAAAATGCTTCTCCTTTTGAAGCTAAAACCTTTTACTAATCACATTATTAGCACCCGAAATAATAATAAAAAATAAAAATTTTACTTCACGTAAATAATTGCCAAACTACAGGTATCTGTTACTGAGAGTCTTTCAATGTAATGGTGGTCCACACACCTCCTATATTCTGGACTGTAAAAAGTTGAACATTAAGAATCCACTATCTGTCGTTAAAATGCCTGCCTATTTGAATGATATAAAAAAAGAAAAAAAATGTTAGATTTAAAAATTTAAATATTCATCGAACGAGTAAGGAATTCGTGCTTAAGGCGGTTGGGAGTTAGATTTTAAGAGTCAATGTATTAAAGGAATGAACTCATAAAGATAATTTCTTATCAATACGCTATAGCAGTGGGATAATACTTGTCTATAAAAATAACATCCTGGGTATATTGAACCAATAGGTCAAACAATGTAACCAGAATGGAAAACCACTACTAAAATAACAAATACCTTGTCAGAGCATGGGAAGAACACGCTCAAATAAATTTCAATAGAGAAAAGGATTCAAACAATTCCACCGGTATGCCTATGATGATAAAAAAAAATAAATATTATATTAGTAACTTAAGTATTTTTTTTTTGAAAAAGTAAGGAGTTTGTGCTTAGGGCATTTGGGAGTTAGATCTTAAGAGTCAATGTATTAAAGGAACGACCTCGTAAAGATAATTTCTTATCAATACGGGGATAATACTTGTCTATAGAAATAAACATCCCAGGTATATCAAACCGGTAGGTCAAGCAATATTTTGAGAATATTGATGAGCTCGTAACCAGAATGAAAAATCACTTTTAAACAAATACCTTGAAAAATACGCGTTTAGAAAAGTTGTTTGGAATTGAAAGTTATTTTAGGTATGAGGTGAAAAGGGAAAAATGTGTTTAGGAGTTTGGATTTTCATTTTTTTAAAATAAAAATGATGTAAGATTATTTCAATTGGTGTATCAGCGTAATAGATTTAGGTTCATCACATATTTAATAGTTATTCAGCACGAAATGCCAAATTACTATTATATTAGGAAAATCAAATTTGATTTTCCCAATATTATTAGCTACTTTGTAGGTAGCGGTAGTTATTCAGCTCGAAGTGCCAGATAAGTGATTTATCTAGTGTCCCATGATTAAGCTATTTTTTTAACTATTTTTTAAACTTTTTTTTTATAAATAAATAATATTTTTTCCACAAACAATTTTTTCTCACGATATTTTTCTTTTTTACAAATTTTACGAATAAATTACTTTCGAAACTAAATTCCGTTAATGGAATTGTAATTAATTTTACATATTAAAGCTATAAATTATATTAATTTTAAAAACTAGCAAATTTTAGACTTATTTCAAACCTACAACTGAGTAACTTTCAAGAGTTCAACAAAGCTATGTACTATTAAATACAGTTAGATGCATTGAAAATGGGTCAATATTTTAAATACTTGGCGCAAAAATGTGGAATATACTTACACCTTAGAATCACTTTTCTCTAATAAACAAATAGAAAATGAAATGTGTGAATTTATATATGATGTGAGAACAATAAAAGGCGAAAAATACTCAAGAGCTTCCTTGAATAATACTGTTGCCTCAATAAGCCGTCATCTTAAAAATTCCAAACCACAATAGAATTCTAATCTTTTAGATAAAACTAATTTTCCAAAACTTTATGCCACACTTGATGGTACCTTTAAAGAAATGAAAAGATTAGGAATAGGTGCTCCAAAACTACATGAAGGTTTAACAAATGAGAAATTAAAAATTATCTTATCTAACAATACCATGTCTTCAAATGAATCTGAAGGGTTGCTTCAGAAAGTTTTTTTTTTGGATTTATCTGTTAGGATGTTTATGAGGTGGTGAACATTACAATTTACTAATTGACCAATTTGAAGATACAGAAAAGGGATTTATTTTTAAGAAATTTCAACAAAAAATTGATCAAGGAGGATTAGAAGGTAATCAATCTACCTTTAAAATTCCATTATTAAGGGTGAGGCTGAAACTAATATAGATATTTGTAGGTATATTTCAATGAGATCTCTAAGTTGTAAAACTAAGACATTTTATTTAGGAATCTCAACAAATGCATTAGATAAATATTTTTTTATTATTTTATTATTAATTGAATTTCTACTTAATTTATATTTTTTTTTTTAGCAATTTTCAAAGGAATATAGTATTATGATTAAGGATTTGGAGAAAAATGAATTAAAGAAATGTTTCAAGAAATTTGTCTAGTATGTGGTATTAATATATCTGGAAGAAATATCTCTAATCATTCAGGATGTGATACAGCAATTCAATCAATATTTGATGCTGAAAATGAAGAAGTTGAAGCAATAGCAATTTCAGGTTATAGTTCATCAGCTGAAATGTGCAACTATCTTAAAATAACAAAGGAAAAAAAAGAAATATTCTTAATTCAGTTATGCAAAGATTGACTGGAACTGTAGAACTTGATGGTATGCATTACAAGACAAGGTATTTTTACATTTTTATTATATCAATATTATTATATTTTTATATTGACAATTAATTTAAATTGTATAGTCATCCAATGGTTTTAATAAGGCTTTGCAACTATTAAATAAAAAAAATAAGAGGCCTTTACAAGAAATTTCATCTTCCGAATTAAATACAAGTCAAAAGAAAAAAAGAAAGGAAAAACAAATAATTATTAATAAAACTTATTATACAAATTGTACTATATATAATTAATTATTAATTAGTTTTAAATGTAATTTTATTAATACAAATAATGCTTAATAAAAATTATTAATAGCAGTATTAAAAAATTATCACTTCATGATCTCGTGTTAATGAGTCATCAATGAGAGATTCATGAAAATTTTAATGTAAAACAGCGTATATATATTCTGATCGCTAAAAAAAAAAAAGATATAAACAAGTAAATAAAACTTCACCAATAACTGTACATTTTTTTTTCCTTTTTCCTAATTTATCTTTCGATTTGAACTAAAAATTTTCTTCCAAAGAATTGCTCAAACACTTGATGTTTGTTATTAAAAAAACCCGTTTATAAACCTGGATCAGGAGAAATTTTCAGTAAACTTGAATTTATGAAGTAGATTACAATTTTTACGGTAGTGCATCATAAACTTTTCGTATTTAATGTTAACGAAACAGTATTATTAAATAATTTAAATCTTTTATTATATATTAAATTTATAATAAAGTTATAATCTTTAATAACAAATGTTATAGAAAATATACAGTATAATGAGTTAATTACAATATCAAAAATCAAAACGCAAAAGATAATAATTTGCCAAATTATCATATTACTAAACCTGAATCTGATTCAAGTGATCGTAAGGAAAATAAAATGCAAATATTTACTAGAAATTAATAAGTATTATTAATTATAAATAACATCAATTTTATAATTGTTGTAATTATAGTACCTGTTATTTTTATCTTTTTTCTTTTTCTTGTAATGGTCTCTTATTACTTAATTCATTAATTTGAAGTCTTTTGACTAAACCTGTTAGATAATTTATCTTGTCGAAATTGTGACACATTCTTTTGTATATCCAACTAAATTTAAAGGTATCCGTCTTTGTTGAATATTTATAAGCTCGGTTTGAAGATATTTGTAGTTAATAATTTTAAAAATCATATTAGAAATTTCTGACTTTATAACCTTGCATTATTAAAATATATTATTTTCCATTGATTGTTTTTTAAAAATAAATCAAATTTGGTTGAGCCCAGAATCACAAATCCAAATTTGATTCCTACGTAATAATTTACCGCGCGAAATAATTTCGTCCTCAAATCATTTTCTAGGTACCGGATAAAACGGAATGCTGGACGAAATTTTACCTTATACTCACAGGAATACTTCCCTCTCATATCGCACGTTATATTTTGCGTACTTTCTGTTCGTTTCATATCTGATATACTTATAAAAACAAACTACGTCGAAGATATGTGACAAACAAAAATATATATATTTAATAATATTATTTATTAAAAAGTTATATATTTATTTAATATTTTATTTAATTAAAATAATTTATAGGTTTAAATAACTCCTATAATAAGAATAAACAATACTTTGTACGTATTCTAACGCTAAATATACTTTATTTACTATTAAATTCATGTTACGAATGATATGAGGTCAAACTGTTGGCTTTACCTTCTCTTAAGTATGTGCCGTCTTGGTGGAA